AAATACACATTAATTATAAGAAGATTTCTTAAGTCACTTTTTAGCTGACTAGTAATTAAACGAATACACGTCACCAAACCTTAGTTATTTATCTTATCTCTCCCACCTGACTTAAAACACGTGTTGAGCACGTAAGAAGATATAATATATTTGAAACCCAAGTAAAACGGTGATAATACATTACTCATAAACTTATCTTTGATTTTGTATTGCTGATAATATATTATTCACCTTTGATCTCATATTATTGATAATACAAATATTATAACTTTGACTCTAAAATTTTGAGAATTCTTTTTAGCAGTCCAGATTATTACATTAAAAGAGTATAATTGTTATCAATCTTTAAATGATTTTGTCACTAGTACTTTTAGTACTTATTTACATTTAGTTTAATAGTCATAAAGTATTATTAATACTTTAAATTGTCATTAAGACATTGGAAGTTTCCCTTTGAATATTTCTTAAATTTTATAAATATCTTTGAATATTTCAAAAGTCAATCAAAACAGTAACAATATATTCAATTTAAGATAATAATAGAATAAAATAGAAAGAAAAAGAATATTATTTTTTTTATTGCTATAATATAGTCTTGTTAAAGAAAAAGAATATTATTAACTAATAATGAAATTAAATATATAATTAAAATATCATTATGACTAATTTTGTCTTATTGCATTTTTATTTGCGTGTTTATTATATCAGATTGATAACAATATTAATTTTATTTTGATAAACTTCCAAGTGTTTCCATTGACAACACTGCTCTTTACAATAACATTTTTCCTGGTTCTAGCTATTATAAAACACAGGAAATTTGATCTATACAATTACAGCCTCTCAAAAATCACACTTTTTTCTGGTTCTAAGAAACATATTATTTATCATATCCTAGAGGATAAATACATTTGTAAATTTTCAACCTTTTCTGATATATTTTCATAGAATAATAAAAATGTGATTATTATTATTTATGTTGCATAATGTAAAATTAGTTTTTGTCTTGTCTAAATTATAATTTACTTAATTTAAATCCTAGCTTCAAGTCTTCCGTCAGTTCACCTAAATTCACAAAATATAATAATGAATTTAGACCTAAAAATAAAAACACCAGTCCTCCTTTACCCCCAGACGGGGAACGGGGAGTTCCCAGGCGGGCGTACCCGCGGGGGAAGGGATAAACCCTAATTTTTATGTTATAGGGAAGCCCGAAAAAATTACACCCCTCAATATTTGGGGGGAAACCCTAAATATTTGACCGGGTAAGTTCTTACCTTGATTATCTTTAGCATTATAATTAATCCAAGTTTCACTTGGGGGAACATTTGCAATTGGTGCAAAAAGAACACGTGGATCCACACCCAACGCGTCCACAATTTGGATACTATGCGGTGCCAGAAAAGCGACGATTTCTCGGATCATCGGCTGTACTAGCAACGCTGATTTTATGGTCACTAATTCATTTGTTATGTACCAAGCGAGATAGGTGTCAAGTTGATTAAGGGCATACAGACGAGCAACGACTGACAAGAGCGTCCTGTGACGAGTTGAACAGAGAATCGCTTGAGATAATTTACCAGTAATGGATGTAAAATAGTTTCAAAGAATGTGCGCTTACTTGGCATCTCCATATAATTCATTTGTTGCCTTTAAAACTTGCTCAAGGATTATTCGTTCGCCGTGTGCACGGGAAAGGGATTGTATAGTGTCGGATTCTTGTTTCATCCAAACTTCAAAGAGATTCAAATCAACACCGATTTTGTTGGACATATTTGATTGAAGCTAAAACAACCCAATTAAAACTTGTCCCATAAGACGAAGATATCTTTACCAAAAAAAATGTTATTTGATATTTACCTCTTTGAATAAGATTCGCTCCCGTAGCCTGAATAAATTCACTAAATTATCCAATACACTTATATCCCATGATTGAGCTTTTTCAGGTTCAGGTACAGATGGTAATTGAACAATACCACGCTGGACATCAGCTAACAATTCCTTAGCCACTATATGAGTAAAAGAAATTGCTATTAATCAATATCGGATATAAACTCATAATAGAACAAAAATTTGAATTGTATTTTCACCTTTTTGCATCAAAACACTATTATCTCCTTCGGCAGTCATGCCAGCATGAGAAAATCCAATAAAACCACCAAACCGATTAATACTCAAATATCCCTGACCACCGCAACGCTCTCTAGAGGTTGTAGCAACGTTTTCAAAGTTCCACGTGACTAACGGTTTAATAACGCAACATAGACGTACAACTTCCGAGACATCTTGAGGCGTCTTATAAAGAATCAATCTTCAGATTAACAAAAGATCAAGATATAATCACTGTGATTCACAAGCAAGATAATAATATATTTTATTATACTTGCCTGAGTAGCCCATCTGTCTTTGCAATAATTAAGTCCTATATTGAGAACTATTGTGTGGGCTAGTAACGGCATTAACGCGCGTTGTTGAAGTTGGTACGCGAGAATCGGAGTATCACTAGAAAGCGCGTATGTTAAATTTCTTGTATGATTAATTCAAAATTATCGAGGAAATTTCAAATAACCTCTTTCCACTAGCACCAACGGCCAATCGAGAATTCGCGTATCGAAATGCGATTGAAAGACAGGCTGACATATAGAAAAAGAATTAAAAAATAGCAATCAAAAAAACAAAATTTTAGATATTTACATACCTTTTGTCCCTCCCAGACACATTGAAGCTATCGCCAATCGACCAGACAAAAGTTGATCAGCCACTTTTAAGAATCGTCTATTTTAAAAATATTTATTGTCGTTGATTATGATTGCAAACACAAAAAAAAAAGAATAAGATTTACACAAATTACCCACGACGGCTGTCAATCACACTTGTGAACTGATTTCGTTCGTCAATATTTGAATACCGATTTAATAAATTATCAACAGGTACTCGCACCTAAATTTTTGGAGTGGATGAAGTTAAAATACTGCAAGACTTTGAAATCAATTTGTGATTTACTCACGTCTTTAAACCAAAGTTTTCCTGTCTCAAAGAATAGTTTAGCATTCGGTTAGCATAAAATGTCTAAATTTTATGACAAGTAAACCAACCCGTGAGAAACTCACCATTATCCACACCATTACATTCAAATTTAACTCCCATATCTTCAATGACAACACCTTCAGAGGGTGTCATACTATAAATACAAGAAATTTGATTAAAAAAAATAATAGCAAGATAATAAAATGCTTAATACCGAGAACTCTAACTAAATTAAATTCATACTTCTCTTCACGAATTCTGACTAAAATAGCGTGAATTCCTTCATTCTTTCCCTTAATATAAGTTTGAGCAAACACAACTGCCCATTTAGCATGAATTGCAGACTATATATAAATAAAATATTCCGATTAAGTCAATCAAAATAAATAAATAAATCTATGCATTTGTGAGAGTCGAAAATTCTAGTTAAAACTTACATTGGTAATCCAATATTTTTGAGCAAGTACAGAAGGAGTATTGATAACGAACTCTCGTGTTTCTTCGTCAAAAATTGCAGTAGTTTCCATTTCAACCGCGTTATTCCCATACCCTAATTCAGTCAACGCGAAACAACCGATATTAGTAAGATCATCGACCCCAGGAAGAATATAGCGATGACGTTCTGTTCCGAGTTTAATCACTGTTCCGCCAAAAAGATTCCATTGAACAGTCATCTAAGAGAAATAATGTTTTTAATTATACGGATATTTACGTATAATCAATTGATGCACATGAGATTATAAATTTATAAACCTTTGTCGCCATTGAACCGTCCACCATGCCGGCCATTTCATGCACTATTAAAAAGAACCAATTTTAATGCAACTTTTTGTATGCCATAAGCTTGCAAATGAAAACACGAGGCATACCAGCAAACACGTTCAATGGGTTCTTTTCAAAGTCAAAAACGGACAAAAATTTACGGTCCGCTAACCGTTGTAACCTTTGCAGTGCCAACTCACGCTGAAACTCTAAACTCGTGTTATAACGTGGAATGAAAATTGGATCGGAAGCCATGAATTCCAACATTTCTTTGCGCGTGGCATGATTATCATGGTAAAGAAGATTCTTTAGATCTGAGTAACCTTTTTCAGAGGAGAAAGAGGCAGACATTTTTTACTTGGAAGAGAAATTCTAATGAGTTTTAAATAATGATCGATGGCATAATAAAAATGCTATGACAATATATCTATATATAGTAATTTTTTATTGGTCAATTTGTCTCACGCTAATACAAAAGATTTACAAGTCATTGTGTGATAACTTTACTAAACTCTACTCGGCGCTTTTTCCTGATGAAGCAATCACTCTTACTTTTTTTGGGTGCAACATTGTTGCCAAATACTAGAGATGTTAATCGGTCCGTCCGGTCCGAGGACTGCCAATCCTAATCTGGACTGGACTGGATTGCGATCCAAGAACTTAATCGATGGGACTGATCCGGGATCTAAAAATGGGACCGATTTCGAATGTAATTTATAAGTCGGATGATCTTAAATCATCTGTCAGGATGATCCGAATACCGTAATACAAAGTGACGACCCAATAATACAAACATATATTAAGACAAGAAAGTGGAAGATTTATATGTAAAAATCTCCATCCTGATATTTTTAATTAGTTCTCCAAGTTAAATCTAGATATTTGTTTTCTGTGATTTCCACATTTTTTGCCAGGCTGATTAAAAAATTTATGCTTTTACAATGAGAAATAAAAGTATGTCCAAATATAATGACTCAAATAAAAAAACAAAAGGAAATATGAAACTCTCTTTCTGGTTTTCGTTAAGTAACATTTCATTATAACCTACATCATCAATAAGAAACAAAACTGTCTCACTTGGTAAATCATCGCGCGTGCTTGAATTGAAAGTAACCTAAGTGTCTTCAAAACTCTTTAATTTTTTTGTCATGTATTTTCGAGTAAGAGAAAGAAGTTGTATTTGTGATTATTTTATGTCACAAAATTATTTTTACATGGACACGACATAGCAAAAGAAAGTCAAAAATTCTCTTTTTCATACCAGAAATAAGGGAGAGAGAGGAAAAGAAGAGAGAAAAAAGAGTGAGATGGAAAGGGAAGAGTGAGATGGAGAGGAAAGAGCGAGATGAAAAGAGAATAGCAAAATAATACTATTATATTACTATACATTAATATCTAGAATAACCCTACAAATCATCTCAGATCATTCTTAGACATGACTCAGTCCTATGATTAATCACATGACTAAGTGGGATCGTGAGATTGAAATTTTCTAAAATTAGGATCGGACCGGGATCATCCTGTTAAAAGATCATTCAGGACTTGATCCTTATGGACTGATTAACATCCCTACTAAATACCACATATCTGGAGTCAATAATAAGAAAAATCATAATCTTTGGGATCGATTAAAACTTCAAATTTCACACCATAATTATATACATCTTTTCTTCAAGACGAAACATTAGGTTGGGATGCGAGACATTTTAAATGTTGGTGTCGCTTCCAAGAAATTGATAATAGACCCATTATGATCAAGCCTGTCCAGAACATCAAGTATTATAAGATATTTGAATCTAGGTGTAGGCCCACGTGCCAATAAATCTAATGTTTCATCGGTTTGATTAGAGATGGCATTTTCTACATCTAATTGTGCAAATGAATAGCTTTCGAGCCATCTAAGCTTAAGGTCAAAAGGAAGAGTTCCTTCATAAAATTATTCGTTAAGAGCTCAAATATCATTATTTCATTATTTCCCAACTTCGATCCAATTTTGCAGCTGTAATCCCCGGCGGAGAAAAGCAAATATTTTTGCTATTACAGCCTTAAATTAAAGTTAATAAAATCAAATCTGATGGATCGTAATATCTGACAAGTAATCATATTACCGTAAAAACCAGAATGAATTATCCATTGCAACTCATTTTGCACGTTGATTTGATTTTTGATAATGTTTTTAAGATTTCTTGGTATTGACTGAACTATAAACATAATAATACCTATTATCACTATGAAAAGGAATTAATTTTTATTAAGTAAATGCTTGAGGAATAAATAACCAGATTCGAAAAATATAAATTAGCGGATTGCATACTTCATTTCTGTTAGAAGACGCTTGAAGAAGAAATTCTCGTTTCTTTGATTCTTATCAGCTGGTGAATAATTTTGGATTTTAGCCAATATCCTGCTGTTTGTAAAGAAACTTTATTCCAAGAACGTAAATCAATGCATTATAGTAAATGTCAAAACTATACAATGACAAATGTTACATTACACAAGATAATGAACATCATTATGTATGTACATATGGGGACAAGGTGGTGCCACGTGAAGCGGAATATTTATTATCGTTCAACACGTCGTATTCAGGTAAACTTGAAACTTTGATGAAGAGATGCGTAAAATGAGTCAAACTTTCGTAGACCCCCCGCGTGGGGTCTTCATGTTACCCGTCCCAAGTGACATGGCCCTTCCTTCTTGGGATTTTGTGAAAACCTCGGACTACTTCATTCTTCAACGTGCTAAAGTCTCGAGTAATGTATTATTTCGAGGAGTAATTGGTACTATACAAAACGTGTAAGTTATTAATTTTATTGAAGTGTAATCTCTTTCTTATGCTTACTCGGGTTGCTAAGCTTAAGATAAAATTTTTTGCAGGTTTGACAACAATAAACAGTTTCCGTTTCGGATTGTGTTTCGCAGTGAGGTGAACGGACCAGTATTGCAAATTGCTGCTTCACAGAATCAAAAAGGAATTGATGATGCTTGGAAATGGCTGGAAGGTATTATATATTAATTTAAAATTTAATTTTTGCATGCATTCCCATTGATATTAATTGAACGTATATTTTATAATTTAGTAAATGTGTTTGATGTGGTAAAAAGTTTAGATGATCCAATTGAAAAAGAGGATTATATTAAAACCAAAATTGGTTCATTGGTTGCTAGACAAAGTAAAAGCAATTCTGTTATTGTTAATATTACTGTTTTTCTTGTTTATTTCGTTTAATGAATTAATTATGACTTATTAATAGATAAAGGAACCGATGAAGTTTCTTCTGATGAGGGCGTTCGGTCCGCTTCCAGAACTTTTCGCCAGCGTTTCGACGTCCAGCCCACAGAGAGATTAGTAAATTGTAAGAGAATTCGAAAATAATCTTCGCTTTTTACTCTTTGAATTTATGTTTCTTTTAACATTTATTTTTTTCGATTTTAAATCACGAAATTAGTCTATTCTTGCGCCTATTACAAAAAAATTGCAACTCAAGGATGGATGTATATTAGTGAAAACTATTTGTGCTTTTATTCCTTTCTTTTGGGCATCGAGACGAAGTTGTTTCTTGAACTAAAGGACATTCAAGAGATTGTCAAAGAAAAATCGAAAAGAGGCATGATTCCTGATTCGATTAAAGTAGTGACTAAAGATGGTCAGGAGGTTGGTAAATGTAAAATTAACGTGATTGAAATTATGGCTATAATTAATTTTGCTATTTTTATTATTCTTTTATATATTACTACTATTATTGGTTGTATTTTTGATTTAGCACTTTTTTTCCAATCTTTTCCATAGGGATGAAGTAAGTTACATTAGAGCATACATCAACAGTTTCCATCTCTCCCGAACATTTAATTATCCTTTCTAATCTTGTTATAATCAGACTTACGATCTATTGGTGCAGCTGACAAGTCTGCTGATGCAACGATTATTGAAAAACACTGTGACTGAACCTGCACCAGGAACTTCAATTTTCGAAAATGATTTTGATCAGCTTGTGGAGAAGGAAAAGGAAAACAAAAAGGACAAACCTGAACCAATTAATACAAATGGCAAGGAAGATACAGCACCTCGATCTCCGTTGATTATTCCATTGAAGCAAAATCTTGAATTGCAAAAACGAGACACAGAATTTCAATTCCTTTTTGGATTGCCATCATCCGAACATCTTTTAGAAGAATCGGATGCTGTGTTCTCGATGCCGGACACGCAAGAAATGCAAAGCGGGAAACTTGGTCTCTCTGAAAGTTACCTCGCATTCGTCTCAGACGATATACACTCTTGCCGTCTTGTGTTACCTTTATATACAGTACGACGGGTAGAGAGACTCTATAGTCGCACGCATACTTTTGCTCTATCAATATTAAATTGGCATCAAATGAAATTGATATTTCAAATGGATGGAATAAAAAGCCATTGTGAACAGTTTTGTAATGTACTGAAAGATAATTTAAAGAATCAATTGCATTTTTTGAAGATACTTAAACCTTTTCTTGCTACTTGTTACTCCGAGCTGCTAGTGAATGACTCAAAAAAAGAATTTGCTTGCGGAGGATTAGGAATGAAATTCACGTTTCCCGGAGATCCAAAAAAGTAATTGTTACTGTATTGTTTTCAAGTATTATTGCTTTGTTAGCAAATTAATCTTTATACCCTTTCTTCAATATTTGACTTCAGGTTGAGAGACCGCAGTAAAACAAAACTTTGGATCGAGTATCTAAAAAGTATGTATTTGTCGATTCTCACCTGTTGATATTAAATTATTATATATTTATTATCCTTATTCAAACAATCAATTTTAATAGAAAATGGTAGAAATATTACCCTCATTAGATTACCGAAATTTAATAATCTTGTTCGTGTCGGATTACCGAATAAATTGCGAGGTGAAATATGGGAATTATGCTCCGGTGCAATGTATATGCGATATGCCAACAATGGACTATACCAAAAGATACAAAGAGATTACGCGAAAAAAGTATCATTATCCACAGAAGAAATCGAAAAAGATCTCAACAGGTAATACTTTTTTTATTAATACAATTATCTCAAAAAAGATTAAGCTTAATTATTAAACTTATTCAAATTCTAGATCCCTTCCGGAGTATCCTGCGTATCAAAGTCCCGAAGGAATTGATACTTTGAGACGCGTATTAACAGCTTATTCCTGGAAGGATCCCGAATTAGGTTATTGTCAGGCCATGAATATTGTTGCATCCGCTCTTTTGATGTAAGATAATCACTCAAAAAAATGTGTTTTATTATTACCTCACGGTTAGCTTCAATATATTTTTGATCTAAGTGGGAAGGTTTATTGTTATCATAGGTGGAAATAATCTATTGTCTGGTATATAATGAAAATTTCGACACTTTAATTATATTATAAATACTAACAATTTTGGCTAATTTTTAATTTTTTTTCTAGTTACATGAGCGAAGAACAAACGTTTTGGACGTTAAGTGTTTTGTGTGATAGGATGCTACCTGGATATTATAGGTATTTAATTGTTATATATGTTTGATAAATTTTTTTTGCTGAAAATAATTAGAAAATAAGTGATTTCCTTTCCTAAACGTGATACCTTTAGTACTTCAATGTACGGTGCAATCCTTGATCAGATAATCTTTGAGCATTACGTTCAGAAAACAATGCCAATTCTTCATGAACATTTAAGGAAATATGATATTCAGCTGTCTGTGGCTTGTTTGCCGTGGTTTCTGAGCCTTTACATCAATTCTATGCCTCTGCTTTTTGCCTATCGAGTGTTGGACTGTTTCTTTATGGAAGGCCCCAGAGTATTATTTCAAATTGGGTAAGTTGCATTAAATAAATTGCTAATTTCCATAAGAAATCTACAAAGTGATAATTTCTAAAAAGTCATCTCTCCAAATTTATTTTTCCGTATTAACTAGATTGGGTAAGAACTTTTTATTTTAATGCAGTGTCCAATTCTTTGATTATCAAAGTGAATTAATTAACTTGGCAGAATGGTTTTTCAATTTCAGCTGTACTTAAAATAAATGGCGATCAACTTTTGGAGACCACGGATGATGGCGCATTTATAAATCTACTCAAAAGCTATTTTGCAGGGTTGGATGAACCAGCACATCCAGCAAGCAAAAATCCCAAGATTCGAGAAATAACGAAATTCAATGAAGTGATGATTGTTGCATTCAAAGAGTTCGCCAATGTGACCGACGAGAGTGTCAACGACCTTCGAAAAACCCAACAATTAAAAGTGGTCCATAACATTGAAAGTTTCACAAAACGAAGCCAAATCAGGAATCTGAAAGACACCTCAAAGTTCACGAAAGAGGAAATCTCCGTTCTGTACGATAAATATTATAACGCGCAATTTTATGGACAGCAACAAAGTGTAAGAAATGACACGCGAATGGATTTGAACACGTTCTATCGATTTCTTGGGAGCATTGCCGATTGGGCGACATCCGAAGACGACGATCTAAATAACAAGGATATCACTTCGCCGCGCGATCGTCAAGGACGTAGATTGGTGGGACGGGAATTTATCAATAAATTATTCACACATTTTACTCGTAGCAGTTCTGGCGGTATCACATTACAAGATGTCATAATAGGGCTCGGTAATATTATGTTCGGTGATTTGATGTCTCGTATGGAACTTTTCTTTCAATTGCACGATTATAATAAAGATGGATTTTTAACAAAGGATGAAATCTTGCAAATGTCGGAAAGCTTTTTATACATATTTCGCACTCGAAAAGATGATGGTCATTTGAATGCTGTTTCAAATTTTATAAAAAATGCATTTAAATATGCTGACAAAATAGACGAGCCTTCCCCTGATGAAAAGACAGAGGGTAATAATGATCATAATGATGATACTTCAAAGACTTCTATTAATAATGAAAATGTCCCGAACATTGAAAAAATTAGTAAAGTGTCAAATACCGATGATCAAATACGGATGTCATTGCCGTCGCTTCGTATGGTAATATTGGCTGACGAGTTTCTAGAGAATTTCTTCGATACAGGTTTCGTGTCAACTTTCAAACTATCGGAACCACCAGAAGAACGACAAAAAGGTCTTGGTCGAGAAATATTTGACTCTTTAATGAATAACGGAGTGGGATTAGCAGGCAAGGTCGGAAAACGATTACGAAGCAGCACCATGAACCCTCTTTCTCCTGCCACATCGAATTCTTCATCCTCACAACGTCGTCACCTAAGTTCCTCCTCCTCTTCATCTAACAGCGGAACGTTATCAACATCACCTTCTGGAAAATTCGTAGACTCCAACAAAATCATTAAAGGCTCGAACAATTCAACAACTGAACTGGTTTCCTCACCTTCCGAAATTTCCGAGGAAAAAGGATGGTTAGATGTGTTGCATCCTAATGAAGGTGACGACGATGACGAAGATTTAGATGAAGATCATTCGTTGCTGTTGCAAGAAGTTGATAAATTTTTGGATGAATTTTCGGAATCTTGATTTATTATCAGATTTTTTTTACTTAATTTATTAATTAATTTATAAAGCAAATATGAGCATATATTGGTAATCGCCAACAATTGTAATTATTATTAATAATCATAATTATTGAAAAGAAAATAATTCTTATATAGTACATACATTCTAGTCACATCAAATCACATGATCACAATCTCAAATTTAAGAATTTGATCATTTTTATTTAAGTAATTATATGCAATACCAATTAGATTTGCATAAAAAAATAATAATATATTTTTTGCATAATGAAATTCAACCAATTAAAAATGGTTATCAACATAATCATGTAATTTATAACATGTTTCAAATTTATAATAACATATAGAACATGATAAATTTTAAATTATTATTACTATTGTTACCATTTTTTATAAGTTCTTGAAAGAGCTGGTGAGTACCTAATAATGTTATAATAAGTTACTTGGCCAGGGTAATTATAGTAAAGTTTATTAAGAATGACAGATGAGAGAGTATAATATAATCAAATTTATATAATGCATCAAGCATTAAACTATGATTATAAATGAATCTAAAGGAAGGTAACAGTGTGTTCATGACATGATCAGCTAGAATGAGACCTGGAATTTTTAATAATAATGTTTAATTAAAGGACTTTATATAATAAATATGTAATTTCATTATAAGATTATAATTCAATAATAATAAAGTATAATTTTATTATTACATATTTTAATATTTATTTATTATTCTTAAGATCCTGGGAACTATAGAATTATAGAACTAAAGCTAAAGCTAAAGCTATAGAATTTATCTAAGATATATAGTATATTTATATAAATTATATATTATACAATATAATTGGTTATATTATTATTGTCACTAATTTAATTAAACACAAGTGTTGTTAGTGTTGCTGATATTATTGGTATTGCTAGTGTTGCTGATACTAATACAAATCTAAAAACTAATAATATCTAATATATAATTGTTCAATAAAATAATAACTATCTAAAAATAACTATCCAATAAAATATGAATATGAAATTAATCAATAAAATATAATCCAATTAAATTTATGATATGAATTAACCAATAAAATAAGAATTAAATATTCATATTATAATAGATCTCTTATAGTTAAGAATTTTACTCCGTAAAATAAAAATATAAATTAATAAAATAAGTATAAAAATATAAGAATTTAAAAATATAAGAATATAAATTGAATATATATTGGATTTTAATTCTTTATGCTTATCGTAAGATATTGGAAGACTTTACTACTTAGCTATATAGTCTTAGTCAGTTATGATAATTATCATTGATTTAAGGAATAATAAATTTGAAAGTGAATAATAAAAATAAGGTCTCATCTTATATATAGATATTATAGCAAAGATTCTCTGATAGGACTGTAATAACATGTGGATTATTCCACAAGTCACCAACACACATAGTGTTACCATTTCATCAAAAAAATTCGTAATTACTTAATTATTGATCAATAAAAATTAAGATGTATTACAAAGAACATTAAATGTTACATCATGTAACTCAATGATGATCAAATTAATTTGCCCCTT